CTATCAGAAAAACAGTGCTGTTTCCACATGCAATCCAGACTGGAAGCTGTGGTAAAGTAGGGTATGTGGAACAAGAGACTCTGGGTTTAGATGTGAGTTTAGTATATTTCATATGCTGCTCAAGACAGGGTAATGGACTAAATGCTAGCACACATGATACATGTTTGAAAATTTAATAATGAAATCCATCATTCTGTACAATGCATATACATGAATAATTCTAGAAAGAGGGATAGGAGAAAGATGACACAGTGTCTTAGGGGAAGAACAAAGCCTACTATGCTCAAGAAAATGGCATCCTAAGATGACACAGTTTTCCAAGATTATATACTTATAAGCATGTTGAGCCTCAACACAATTGGCCACAGTCATGGTGTACATTAGCACATGGCATGTGAAGCATGAGCTGCCTGCATATCTTATGACTGCCAGTGGTGACTGCCTATAACTGTAACTTGGCCAGGAAAGTCTCTTCCTCAGCTATACCCTGAAATGTTCTAAATACTCTGCTTCACATCATAATTTTCATATACAACTTTAGCATAATTTCTGCCTGGGATTGTTATAACCGTGGTATCCTTAAATGGTAGCTTTGTACCCAAGGAAAGCTATCTTCCTCTCCCTCCTACCCACGCATGCAGTCATTGCTTTACCATGGAGGTAGATATCTGCTCCTTCCTATGTTCGCACATTATCCCCACCTTAACACTCCTGTTGATTGTCTCAACTGTAGTCAATAATGCTTCTTTGAAGTGGCCTCTGTGTTTTGACACTCTGCTAGCAATTTTTTGAGTACTTCTTGACTTTTTGTCATGCAAAATGTCCCAATTCATCTTGTACTTTCCCTACCCAGCTCTGTAATCATTAATTTCTCAAAAATCCCAATCACTTCAGTAGGATAATTGTATTTAGAAACCAAGATTTGGACCCTTGGTGTGTTAATTACTATGTTATTACATCTGTCACTGTTCCTAGCCCCACATAGACAGATTCAAAGCAGACATATTTATCCATGTGTATTTCTATCTATCTCAATAGATAGATAGATAACAGTTCAAACTGATATCTGTGACATCTGAGAACTTAGTCTAGACTATCCCTGTTACATACTTACACATCATTTTTTCAAAAGTAAGAAATTTGGGTCTCAGAATCTGCAGTATATTTACTTGTTTGCTAGCTAGATCTTAGCGTACTTATTAAGTACTTTCAAAATTAACAGTCATGCTCTAAATTGTAATATTTCTGCATAGTTCTCTTTGTGTTGATTTTCATGGCATACCATCTAGAAAGAACAATACTGAAAGAAGAATTCACTTGGAGAAATGTTACTTGTAACATGTGGATTGTATGGTGGTACATACCTTTAATCCCCATGCCTGGGAGGCAGAGACAGACAGATCTCTGTGAGTTCAAGGATAGCCTGGTCTACAGAGGGAGTTCCAGGACAAAGGTACACAGAGAACCTGTCTCAAAAAGCTAAAAGTTAAAAGTAAAAATAAAGTAATAGACTTTAAAATAAAGCCACATAAATATGGAAAACACACAGAGAATCTGGATATGGTATGTTATGATGCTCTCTTTGAATTGTTTGAAAGCTGAGGAAGGAGCAACAGCTACTAAAAGATATTTACTTATAAATGCTGCTAAATTAATCCAAGGTATGTATTTTGAAAATACCTTGACTTCAAAATTGAAGTCAAAAGGTATGTTACTTTGGAGAAGAGATTTTTGCTTTTGTTTCCACAGAAAATGAGAGGCTGTGGATTCATTCTGAGCTAAGAAAAATCAGGTTTGATCAAGGAAGACCACCTGAGAAATCTCCAGTAGAAACAGATGGCTCAGATGCCAAAGTTCTGTGTCCAGAACAGATTCAAAACTGCTGCCTGAGATGATCAAGATTCATAGGATACTCCAGTCAGGACTTGGTTGTAACTCTAAATTTTCTTTAGGTCCCCATAAGATTATCAGCACCCCCAACCAGCCGGAAGTAGCCTGGAATACTATGCCTGCATTCCCAACAAATGGACTACGGATATTCTCCTTTGATTAAAAAAAAAAAGAGGGGGAAGTGGTGTGGAAGAATTGTCTGTATTATGTCAATAATGTTTTAAATAAACACTAATTGACCAGGCAAGAAGTATAAGGAGAGGTGGGGTAATGACAACAGGAGAATTCTGGGAAGGAGGAAGCCCATTCCTTTCCAGTCCTGCCAAGAACACTGAAGAAGCAGGATGTGACCTGCCTCGCTGAAAAAGGTACTGAGCCATATAGCTAACATCGATAAAAATAATGTGTTGATATAAGTTATAAGAGTTAGCAAGAAGCCTGAGCTAATGGGCCAATCAGTTTATCATTAATATAGACCTCTGTGTGATTTTCTTTGGGGCCAAATGGCTGTGGGAACCAATAAGCCCAGCCATCATGTTACAGTTACTGTCACTTTACCTATTCACTCTCACCGCATTCTCAGCACTTGTTCTCACCTCTAATCAGAATGCCACCAATTTCATTAGGGTCTGATGGAGAAGGGTCATCTTTCTATCTGTTGTTTCATTGGTTAATTAATAAAGAAAACTGCTTGGCCTTTGATAGGACAGAAAATTAGGTAGGCAAAGAAAACAGAACAGAATGCTGGGAGAAAGAAGCCAAGTCAGGCAGTCGCCATGATTCTCCTCTCCGAGGCAGATGCAGGTTAAGAATCTCCCTGGTAAGCCACCAGCTCATGGTGCTACACAGATTATTATTATTAATAATTATTATTATTATTATATTCGAAATGGGTTAATCAAGATGTGAGAATTAGCTAATAAGAGGCTAGAACTAATGGGCCAAGCAGTGTTTAAAAGAATACAATTTGTGTGTTGTTATTTCGGGTAAAGCTAGCTGTGCAGGAGCCAGGCAACCGGGCAGCAGGAACACAGCCTGCTGCTCCTACTACAAGGGTCTAACTTTCTCTCTGTGTATTCTTTTGCAGAAATTAGCAGACTACCTGATTTATTATAGCTCTTCACTTCTTACAAGAAAAATTGCTTTCTACTGATTCCCTTTTGAACTTTGGTTACATGAACCTAACAATTTATCTTGTCAATTTTTCCATATTAACTTCTAGACATTTTTCTTACTCTACTCCCCATCCCCTACTATTTTTTCTCACAATTACAGGCTATGCTCTTGCATGGATGATATATAGTTTTTTTTAACTATTTACCTATCTTTGGGTAGTTATATTGCTTCAATAATTACATAACTATAAACAATTATACAACCCGTAGCTATTTATATAGGTGTTTAACAATGTTGGGAACAGACCTGGGATTAAAAGTTTGATATTGCTTCTTGGTTTAATTGTATTTTAGATCAAATGAGTCAATTTAATTTGAGATCACATTGAATAATAAAAATATTCTGTTAAATGATGTTAACTGCATGCTATTTGTCTTTATTTGTTTCTTTATTCTGAGATGGTCTAATTCAATAACTATTTTTCTTTAGCTTTCAGAACAGACATTTGATTCTGAGAAGCTTCCTTTGTCTACTTAAATTTAACATTTTTCTCACTATCCATTCATTAAAAATGTTATGGCATGTATTAGTTTTTGATTAAAACTGAATCCATGTTTAAATTTGTAGTTATGAAAATTCATTAAAGCATTAAATAATTCATCATTTAGAGACAAAGTACAGAAATGATAACTTGCATTGTTAATCTTGTTTCTTTGACATTCTTTGTAGTGAGGTACAGAGGCAAACACATCACACAGTCAGGAGGCTGTCTGTATCTAGAGATGGTCTGGTGTAGGCGTAGGGAACATCCTTCCTCCTGATGGAAGGTATACATCCTGAAGGTGTGGCTTCCCGCTAACTCTTGCAGAACAGATACTGGATGCTCCCTTAGGATTCTGCCCAGTCTACTGAAATTTTTTCCATGAGTCTGCCTCTACTCTGGGTCTAGAAAGCTCTTGTGTGTCCCAGACTAATTCATGAAGAGATTGCTCAAGCATTTGGAATCTGAGAACTAAAAAGTACTGACTGCCTTTTCCCCTTGGACTGCCTACAAATTTCTGTATACTCCACTAGGAAGTAAGCAGTCAACCAAGGTTCAGACAGCTGCTGATTGAGGGTATCCAAGTTTTGAGGAGATGGTATTCTTGGATAACACAATATCAGCAGATTAAACTGAATGACTCTGAGTAAGAAAATATTTTCTACCAAAAGTCAACTTCTGACACAGCTGTGTATATGTATTGTCACCTATCTAAAGATATGTCTATGTAAATGCATGCCTTATCTGTGTAAATGTATGATCACCTAAACAGATATTTGTGTAACCTAATTAAATGTAGACTCACTTACATAAACGTAGGTTCACCTGTGTACACTTTACCCATGTAAATGTTATCACTAATGCAAATGCATGCCATATTAATGTAACTGTATACTCACATATATATATATATATATAAATGTATGACCACCTATGTCTTACCTACATAAATGTATGCCTCACTTATTTAAAAATATGCCTCACCCATACGAATTTATGTTCACCTGTGTAAATGTATCCTCAACTATGTACCTATTCCTCAGTTATCTCAGTTATGTAAATGTGTACCTTATCCATACTATGCATCCATCACCTTTGTAAATATATGTCCACATGTGCACATGCATATCTCACTTATATAAATGTACACCCAACTACGCATACGTATATCTCACCTATTTGAATGTGTGCTCACCTCCATACCTGTATACCTTAATATAATATATGAATGCATGTCTCACCTGTCACTGATACCATGCACTGAGAAATCAGTATTGTAAGAGTTTTGTGGAAACCTCACCAGCTGGGTCAGAATTGCGGAATCTGTATCTTCCACTTTAGAGTAGTCAAGTCACATAGTAAAGTGTGTCTCTGAATCCAAAGTTAAAGAAAACGAAATCTGCAACAAGCACACAGAAAAAGCTTTGAGAGGACAGTGTTCTGAAAGGTTTACCTCCTCGGTCACGGGCAGCTAAACTTTGACCCCTTCTCAGTGTGATGTCCAACTGATACATTCCGGGATCAGCCAAAGGGACATCTGCATTACTGTTTCCAACTGTATTTATTTTCTGAAAAATAAGAAATATACAAAATACTAAGTTTATTTCCTTTGGTCTAATTTCTCCAATGGGAGACTGCATGTTGTTTAAAATGAATTATGAGAATTATCTAATGAAATCAATCATCACAAACAGTTTTCTGAAGACTTAAAATTCATGAGTTTTTAAATTAGAAATAAAAGAATGGCAGCAATATAAATACCTTATTTTAACTCTGTTTAGTTAGCAATTTAAGTATTAGAAACATTGTGTATAATGTAATGACTATATAATTCATTTAAGAAAAATTAACATAGAAATAGTGTGAAGTAAAAAACACAATGAATGATGAAGAGAAAAAGATGTGCAAAAGAAGCTGACTTATACATAACTTAAAATTGAAAGGATTTATTCAGATGACTGTATTGACTCATTCATTTATGCAAATATCTCTTACTGATGAATTATATAATTCTATTTCAGAGTCAACATAAAATATGATATAATATATAGAAATAAATTGTCCCAGCATTTTGACAGCATTTGCAAGAAACAAATTCTCAGTGGGGCTCAATTCTAACGCTTCCTTCTTTGGATCAAAGTGCTCATGGTATTTATTGATCCACAGACTTCAGCAGTGCTGCCTGATGGAATGTTTTAAAGAGCAATGCAATAAAAATGCACAGGCCACATTTTTTTTTAGTTTTCGCTAGCTTCTATACAGCAGGAGAACTTACTTTCTCCCCAGGTTTGAGAATATTCAAGATTCTCATTTCTTTTCTGGTTCATTGTAAAACTTGCACGGGTAAGAAAGAACAGAAATGAGCAATCTGGCTCCTGGCACCCCAATTAACAGGAAAGGCAATTATCCAGCAGAGTCAAGAAAACTTTACTGAGATCTCACTCACACACCACAATGTCACCCTTCATCGAATCAGTACTTTATTTGAGGTTTTAAAATCCACATAGAAAGCTTTCCTTGTGGAGCAATTATTACTTAAGACAAGAAGCACTGTTACTTTGATTGACACTTGAACTCATTCTCTCTCCTCTGTTAACAATGAAAAGAATTCATCTTGTTCCCCATAATATTCATAAATGGTAGCTGCAGTCCCCAGGCCCCCAGGCTGGAAATTTTGAGCCATCTTTGACTTCTTCATTTGCCTCCTACTCACACCCAAATAGCTGCTAATCTCACCTGCTCTTCTGCATGAGATCCCCCACCTGCCTTTTCCTTATTCCTGCTAACACTGACACAAGCCAAGTCTACCGCCCCCCAACTGCCTTTACCTAATTCCTGCTAACACTAATACAAGCCAAGTCCAGCTCCCAACTGCCTTTCCCTTTTAATTCCTGCTAATGACAACACAAGCCAAGTCTCTCACAATAAAAACTAAGACTGGATCATGTCTCTCAACCTTCTATGATAGCTACTTTAGCTGTTTGGGATGTAACTATTCCTACCCTTCCTTACTCAAGTATCCACGAATACACATATTGAGGCATATACTTGTCAGGTTTTCCAGTTTGAACAATGCTAGCATGTTCTAGTATATTTTCTATTATTTACAATTTATTTAAGAAAAATATCACAGGAACTTTTCTGACTGATAAATCTCTCTCTCTCTCTCTCTCTCTCTCTCTCTCTCTCTCTCCTCTTTTCTCCTCTCTCCCTCCCTCCATCCTCCCTTCATCCCTTCCTCCAACCCTTTGTCTTCTGTTCTCTTTCATATCACTCCTGGGCTGTATTGATGTGTAACTAAGTAATAAAGAAAATCCTATTATTTTATGGAATGTAATAGAATGACTTGATAGTCATGTAATTTTGAAATGATTGTTGCAAGTAAGTCAATTCAATACAGCTCTTACCCTGTATTATTAACCTTTTCTGTATTTTGTTTTATGATTAAGAATATTTAATACAATTTCAAATATACAATTCAATATTACTGTCATCCTTCTATAGTTTGGGCTCTATACTATTCCCTTTAAAAACTGAAAGGTTTTGTGCTTTGACTGACTTCTCCCCCTTTCCCTGAACCCTGTATATGGCAATCACTGTTTTGTTGCGAACACTTACTCCTGGTGTCTTCTGTCTTTCATCTTTGCACACATTGTATGCGGTCATTAAACTCCTGAGCAGTTAAAGCTGTTTCATTCCCTCTAACTTCTGCATTTCCTAATTTCTTACCTTTTTAACACATCATGATAATCATTTTCATAGTTAAAATATTCTTACAATTTTTACTTTTATGTAGTTGTTTCAATTATTAAAAGTAAGATTTAAATAACTGTATGAAATGAAAACTTTTCTCTTTTAAATGTATTTTATTAACTCTGAGAATTTTATGGAATGTGCTTTGATCACATTTACTTCCATTCATCTCCTAACTCCCAGATCCACTCCTCACCTCTCATCCCTCCCATTTCCATGTCTTGTTTTTAAAATAATCTACCAAGTACAATTTGTGCGGTCCGTGTGCTCTGGGCGTGGGGCCATGCTGGAGCGTAGTTGGTAGCCAGGACTTGTAAACTCCCTTTATAATACATTAAGTTGTCAAGTATACTTGGATCTATTTATGTTTCTCCTCTAATGTTTATTTCCATGTTTACACCAAGACATTTGCAAAAAATTCTTTGAATTTTAGTACTTTAGAATATGTAGCTACTGTCAGTTTTGTTTTCTAAAGTTTCTTAAATATTGTTGCATTTTTATCTTTCTAGCTAGGCTGGGCCAGGTTGCCTGGGGTTGAACAACTTACTGTTTCCATTATCTACAGCAGTAACTTAACTTGCCTTAAGTCTGGCTTTCTTCTATATTAATAAACAATATATTGTGGGCTTGAATACATAGAAAATGTTAAATATAACATCTGGCATACAGTAATCACTAAAAACATGGGTAGTTCTTAAGTTTTATATATGAAACAAAAGTCTTAATTTCTGATCTAATCTGCATTGAATTTCTACATCAATCTGAGAAAGATACATAATTTCATGTATTACATATTCCCGAGGGAAATATAACTTTCCCATTATTTTATGTTTTCCTTTGAATCCTTTAATAACACGATATAGTTTATCATATAGGTTCCATCTCTATATAACTAATTTCATTCCTGAATGTTCACAGGTTTTTGTCTCTATTGCAAGTGGAGTATTTTTTCAATTTCCAGTTTGATCAGTTTATTTCTAATCTATTGGGCACACATTATTTTATATAGTGATTTTATTTTCTTTTATTTTTCAAGTGTTTTTGGTTGTGTACAAAAAATATGTTCTGCATATAATGTAAATTCTGCTTCACCCTTATTTCAATGTGTGATTTGCTTAGTTTTTAACCTTGTTGCTTTTCTAAAAGAGTATTTAAAACAGAATAGATTTTGTGGACATTTCTGAATTTCATGAAATTTAATTTTTTAATTTTTGATAGTATAATATAATAATATTATCCCCCTCCCCATCCCCCCTCTATTCTCCCATGTTCTTCTGTGATCACTAACACATGCTCATTCAACTGAAGCTCTTTCTTCTACTCTTCATTTACTTATGTTTTAAAAGTGGGCCTCATGATGAATTTTACAAGAGATTTATACCAAATAATTGTTTGGCAATTTTTCTAATATTGAATCATCACCATATTTGAGGAGTAACTTTGACTTGACCTTGTGAGTGCATCCTTTAATGCATAGTGGTTCATAACCATGAGCATGTTCATAACCATGAGCATACCCCAACATATGTATGTAACAGCATAGCTGTAATCAAGCATTAATTCCCAGCCCCACACAGTGTCAAGTCAGCCATTCTAAACGTGCCTGTGACTTTTGCCCTTCATAGATTCTATTTTCCACAGCAGAATAGGAGTACACATTAATTACTCTAATTGTCATCCTTCCCCTACATTACCACTAACTTTGTTCTCCTGGTTTCTATGTTTGCCTACATAGAAAGTCCTTAAAGACAGTTGTTGGCTTTTTTGTATCGTTCTTTTCCACTACGACTTACTGTCTCAAATACTTGTCGTTTTAGATGGTGAAACTTTGAAATGAAGACCTGAGGAAATCAAGGATAAAACTGAACACAAGTTACAATGGAAGCTTCAAGGACAGATGTCTTCAAGGATACAGCTGTAAAGTGAATGTAGAAAAGGATGGAGATTTATTACCAAGTTAGCTAGTAACCCACAGACACTTTGCTCTTTCCCTCTTCTCTATGCTGTCTATGCTTGGTATCCTCTTTCCTTGAGGAACCTAAGAATGCCCTTAAGAGTCTTCCTAAGTCTACACTAAGGCTACCCACCCAGAGCGGTGAGTGCCTGCCTACCGGGCAGGCCTCAGGGTCCCCTGTAAGGGAGCCTGGGCACCTTCAGCTCCAGCGCCAGGCTTCCTGTGCGCTCCTGGATACCTGGATACCCCACCCCCAATCCATTCATCCTTTTGACCCTGGATCATTGGGCTACCAGCGGCCCTGTTTAGTTGCTGAGGAATCCCATCTGGACTGGAATGGTCCATGCTTCTACACTGAAGAGATACACCCAGAGAGTCAATCACAGCAAAGACTGGACCAAGACACCAGGCCTCTCCTGGCTCCATTTGAAGGAAGAGATGGGAAGGCGCCAATGCAAGAATTCCTCCAACAACCTGAAAGGCAACATGACACCACCAGAATCCAGGGATCCCGAAATAAGAAGAATTGTACACCCTACTCCAGAAGAAATAGAAGATATCGACTCAAAAGTGAACTATATGAAAATAATAGAGGACCTTAAACAGGAGGTGAAAAACTGCCATAAACAATTAGAGATTACAAACAAAAAAGTAGAGGAAATGAATAAATTGCTCAAAGACACGCAAGAAAACCAAGAGAAACAAGAAAAAGCAATCAAACAGGTTAAGGAAGCGGTTCAAGACTTGAAGAATGAAATGGAAGCAATGAAGAAAGCACAAACCGAGCGAAGAATGGAGATGGAAAATCTGGGTAAACGAACAGGAACTACAGAGACAAGTACTAACAACAGATTACAAGAG